GGCTGCTTTTCTTAAAGATATACATAGTTATTTTCTGTTAATCTGCTACCATTTTATAGGTAGGTTAACTTATTCAGGTTCGATTTTCCAAATTACTTCTAAGATGTCGTCGAGAACACGATGAAAGTGCATTTATCGACGTACCTATCGTTATTTTTTACAATAAAATTGTCCACAAGTCCACAACTTAAGGTAGTTTCTGAAATCCCAAGTTAAACACATTATAAACCAAAATTCCATACCATGCCAACATTACAACATTAGCAGCGCCACCACTAAATAATGTCAGCCATTTTGCGCTCTCACCGCAAATTCCAGACGAAATACAGAATGAATATAATACACAATGTTATAATAAAGTGGGCCAGATACACCTGGAACTTGTAGTCTTGACGTCTTCGTTAGATAACTTATCTGGGCCTACAGAGGGTGGGCAGAACTCCAAGTGCCTGCCTGCATAATGTTTCTCTTATTATTCTATTTGGTTGTTGTTTTAGATTTGTGTTGGGTGGAAATGATAAGATTTTGTTTAGGTTACCTGTAGCAATACATTTGTTTATTTTTTGGAGTATTCTCGTCTGAGCACCTATACATTTGGGCATCTATACAGCCTGGTAGAACATCGTAGCGTTGGTGCTCAGAAATTGGTGCTCCATTTTTGTCATTTGTGCTGTAAGTAAATAATTACGGTCATTTATCTTAAGCAACACTATTATTTATTAGTACTGTTCATTCATAAATATTGCTACATTTCCACATTTTACACTGAGACTACATAATAAGTTTTTCTGATAAACTGCTACTACGTCGGGAACCAATACTTCAGGTGTCTTTTTATCCGGTTTAATCTGAATAGCGCCGGTTACCAGCCACGCGATATTTACGAACAGAAGTTTAATTCTTATTTCTTTACTTTTGCATACAAATCTTTTACTTGCTTTAAAGTTTATCAGAAGTATATCTTCTAGAGAATGGCAATATATATTTTTATAGATAAATTTACATATGTCATAATTTTTATCAATCATTTAGAGCTTCTGGTATTCTCCTTCACAAATCGAAGTCAATTTTTTTATTACTGTGTAACCCAAACCAATAATATTATATACCGTAAAAAACTTTTGCAGTATTTTATTGTTCAAGAAAACAAATAGTACCACTTCTGAATTTTTTGTATACCCGGTTGTAACCGGATAAAACCGGTCACGTCGTTCAGAGGTTGCACGTTGCACGTGGTGCTACTGTTGCATACTGTCAAGACACACAGACAGGTGAACTCAAATTGTATTTACTGAATATTATTGCCGTCATACTTCGAAATATGGTAACTGAAATATTAGCTGAGCGGTTTGAGATATTGTTACGATTTGAGACAAGTTAAGCGTCTTGGTTTTGCCTGTAATATTTTTTAGCAATATTACAGGTAATATGATAAAGCTTATATTCATTTGAGAGAGTGCAAAATTATTTCTGGGTTTATTAGCATTTAGAACTCTATCTAAATAAATTCACATTCACATCACAAATCAACAGCTTTTGGCAGTCCCTTACACTTATTATTTGTTAAGCATATAACTTTGACTTCTTATACATAACTGAATTTTGACACTTGACTAAAAACGTCTTTAAAACTTACAATTAGCCTTATACTCATACAATTAGAGTCTTAAATTGAATACCTTTATCATAAACAACATAATTAATCTTCACGTTAACCGTAGTGTTTATTCCATATGATTAGAGGCACCTCTGTCTCATATCTTCTCATATCTTACATAACACAACACATTATACTGAGTACATTATATACTTGTGACGTCATAACTGAGGCGCCATCTACCGGGAATATTAAATAGGGTCTCTGGCTTGATTAATGGAGTGAAAGGGGTATGTGAAATTAAGGTATTTTACATAAAAGAAGGTGAGCTAAAATTAGGATAATGTACGTCTAAAATGTCATAGTTAAAATGCTATTTTGATTATGTTGTGGTTAACTATGGGTAATTTTACGTTTTTATTTGTATTAATTGGGTACTTGTCAACTAGTCCAATTCATACTTTTTTCAAAAAAGACTTTTTTTGTATTTTGTACGATATTGTGAATTGTGACGTCACGTTTTTTAGCGTCATACAACATACTTATTTCGTACTATAATAACCAACTTAATACTAAAATTAAGTTGGTTATAAAATCAATTAATGAAAGTGTGAATATTTCATTGTATTAAACGGTCCAAATAATTTATTTTTGATTAAGAAAAGTACATAATTGAAGACTTTGTTTGAAATGCTATTTTGTCATTTTCACAATCTGACCGCTCTCTGAATTAATTAGCAAAGATCTAGATTTAACCAAAGCTCTAATAAGTAGGTAATCTGAATAAAAATTAATTTGCCGTACCTATAAAATTTATAACATTATCAATCTTGTTACAATAAGCTAATTAGTATATACTTCTAAAGCCTGAACATAACGTGAAAATTGGAACCAATTTAACTTGGAACCTTTTATTAGGTATTCCTATTAAAATAGGTTTAAAATAGACGGACTTTCAACAAAAAGGTTTACGGTGAAAGTTGTAGGTACTAACAGTAAACAAGTTTTCGTACGTCTAGCAAAGAATAATATTTTAATACCTATCGAAATTAGAGTGTTTCTGAAATTAATATTAATATCAGTTTTGTACACCGTCAAATGGATTTCGTTTTTATCCCGAAGTAAAATGGTTCTGTCTTGCTCATGTACAATAGTTTTACAAAGAAATAAAATAACAATATGGTTATTAGGCAATTTTTTTTTATGGCGTAAACTGGTAAACGAGCAGACGGATCACCTGATGGTAAGTAATCGGACTCGCCCATGGACACCTGGAACACCAGAGGTGTTACAAGTGCGTAACCGGCTTTTTGGGGATTGGGACTTTGAGGATCGTTGGGGATAGGATTGGGGAGATTGTGGAAGGGGAGGGTAATTGGGCCTCCGGTTACCTCACTCACACGACGAAACACAACACAAGCGTTGCTTCACGTCGGTTTTCTGTCAGGCCGTGGTATCATACCGGTCGAGCCGGCACATTCGTGCCGAATCTCAGACTCTACACTATCACAGGCAATATTAAAAAAACCGAAATAAGTTAATTAATACCTTGATTATCTAGTAAATGTACACCCCTTGCTCAGTAGTCGCGCTTACAACTTCTGAACCAACTAGGCACTTACACTTGAGTGCGCATAAAACGTCAAAGCAGTTTTTATTAATTAAACTCATTCGTTTATTAAATCCCATTAAAAACTTGCAAAATCATAAACAGGCCATCTACCAACTCTGGCGTGTTCACACAACACGCAACTAATTAGTCGCAGCACAAGTCGTGGCGACTAATCGCGTTATCTCAATCAAGTGGCGAGTGCCGCCGGCTCGTCGGCTGCGTTTACTAGATTAGCAGCCGTGTATCCCTTACTGCTCAGGTTGCGCTGTGTGAACCTGAGCTTAATACTATCTAGTACTCAAATTGGAACCTTAATTTTGTTTGCGTTAAAATGAATATTCTTTGTAATGTGAGTACTACCTACTTTTTTCTTCTAGTATTTTTCATGATCGGAACTAAAACATAACCAGATTCTTACGTTTAATGGAGCGAATTTTTAATAGAGCCCTTTATAGGTATGGTACGTCCTATTTTGACATCTTTCTATGACCAAAAAACATAATATAGAAAGAGTAATAATAATAATTAAGCACTGTTACCAGTTCCCATTTCATCACAGAAATCTCTTGGAAATTTCATATAAATTACGTTTTGTCACTTTAGAACCGTTTCTCAACGGTCTGATAACAAAAAGTATGTAAATCCAGTGATAAGGAAGGGGTGACGTGTTATCAGCTCCCAGAGGTACCAAGTAATTCGAGTTACTAGTAGAACAGAGCTCATGTGAACTGAATTTACAATTAATCAGACGGTTTGTAATTTATAGGGAGATGAGTAACTTTTTAAAGTACTGCGGTCACTTGTTCTAAAATTGAACTTAATTTTTTTTTTGGCATAAGCCGGTAAATGAGCAGACGGGTCACCTGATGGTAAGCAATCGGCGTCGCCCATGGACACCTGAAACACCAAGGCGTTACAAGTGCGTTACCGGCCTTTTGGGAATTGGGAATTTGAAGATTGTGGAGGATTCGGGGATTGGGAAGACAGGGAGGGGGGGGGGTGTATTTGGGCCTCCGTCTGACAGAAGAACTTAAAATGAAACCGATTTGTAATGGTTCTGTTTAGTTCTGTTGCGAAGCTCATGGGTGAGAAGGTCATGGTTGAATTAGAGTTTATTCTGGTCTAATATAACATTGACAAGAAGGAAAGGATGCTCAATTCTAGTGCTTAAAGCCTTATTAGAACAAGAAGATATATTATTAATACAGATGAATAAGCATAACATATCACAATACTTAAAATGCGCAACATTTCCCTCTTTTAATGTGTAACATAGCGCCTAACCTCTTAGCGACAAAGTAAATTAATACATCCAATTCTGCTCACACCCTAACTGTGTCACTTTCAACCTGGTTTACATCTAATTACCTACAACCCCGCCCTTACCCAATTCCAACCTTACATCCTAAATCCTAAGGTGGAGTTCAGGATGAGAGAGAGCAATTAGGGTGGGTTGCAAGTGAATATTTAAGAGATGGAATTAATGTTTGATTGTGTTATTGTAATTTTGATGATGTGTTTACCTTGTATCGTGGGGTAAATGACTAATTGAGGTTTAATTACGGTTTGCCATAGCGTACTAAACTTGATCACAGCATTGGTGGGAATTTTACTGTTTATTTTACTGTTAGACTAATCAGAAAAAGCCTTATCGAATCGAATGGTCAATTAAGACTAGATAAGTAGCTGAAAATTGGTTACTCGTAATCCATAATTTAAACCTGGTTACAGTATAAATAGATAAAGGAAACGTGTAATAGATCAGGTTTGAATGACAATGATGAAACTCACCTTTTCGAAATGCTTCACCTCGGCAAGCAGCACAAAGTTGATATGTATGAACCGGGCATCTTCGCATGACCGCGCTCTCTGCCGGTACCCCGGCCTATTGTAGCAGTACCTATAACCCGTATACTCCGAACTGTCAATGTCCACCTTCAGCCCCCCGGTATAGCCCCAGTCACCTCCACATCCCCAACAAACACCTTTGGTAACGAACTTCTCCCACACGTCTGTAAGGCCATGCTTCTTCGCCCCCGCAAGGCCACTGCGGGGGCGGCCAGGCCATGTCCCGGCGTTGGCCTGTGGCCTTAGGCCTTTTAGACTCCTTTGCAGTTTCCACTCCCCGTACGTCCCAGTATCAGCTCGCTTTTTCCATTTCCATTTGGATATCACTCGTGATCTTTGTACAAAATGTTATGTCGCACTCACTTTGACAGTTTGTCCGGTTGATCTCGAATGATCCTGTCTATCGAGTATCTCGTGTTCCCGGATCTCATTGGTAAATTCACTTCACTCTTTTTGTCTCGTCCCGGCTCGCTAATGTTAGCCTTCTTTAGTCAAGATACTCCGATTTCGGTTCAATAATTACTGAGTACTTAAACGTAATTAGCTTTTAACATAATTGGAGTTCAGGACGGGGTTATTCAAAAGCGAAGAGGTGAGCGAAATTCATTTTCGTTCGGTACATTTCCAAAGTAATTATTTGGAGTTCCTCGTAACGTGTAGAGATGTGTCAATGGGAACGCACAGGCGCTGAATATTTTAAAACGTTTGCAAGAAATATGAAGGTTCTTTAAAATTAGTGTTGCCCAAATTCAGTCTTGGTCTTGCAGTCTTGGTCTTGTTCTTGCGTTTTTGCAAGACCAAGACCAAGAACAAGACCGCGTATTTTTAGCAAGACCAAGACCAAGACTGACCGTGCAAGACTTGAGCAAGAACAAGACATAGCCTGCAAGACTCTTGCGTCTTGCAGCTAGGACTTAGCGCTATTGCACTGAGTAGTTAGGTGTAACAGTTCGGTGTATAGGTAGGTACGCTTAGGAATTCTATGAGACGCAAAAAACTGTATCAAATAATATGAAAAACTGGACCTATACGCATTACGACTAATACCATAAACATAGCGAATAAAAAAATATCTATTAAAATCAAACTGAGTGCATGCATAGTTATGTTTTAACCATCGGCACTTTGATAATGCGGCATCAAAGGTTTTGTACTTACTTCTCAAAGAAATTTCCCGCTTTTCGGAAGTACATAGTTTTATGATACACGCCGGCGGCTTCTTTTGAAATCTAAAACAATCGTTGCCGCCACGCCGAAATCATAACATTTGACACTATTTTGCCGCCATAGGGCGTAGGTATACTCATGCAAAATAATTTCGAACTTTAAGAGTACCTACAGGTGTTCCAAAGAATAAATAAGTTTCAGAGTGCTTAGAATGAAAATGAATACATTATACTGATCACGCAAGTAGTATTATGATTAGGATAAAATGGTAAGGATAGGTAGTAGATGTCATATTAATTCATTCTAGTAAGTATACAGTATGTGGCACGGACTTAAACAATAAATGAACTATAATGTAGTATTATTACACAGAAGTATAACGCGACCAAAGATTTAGACGAAAACCTTAAATTAAAAAAGTGAAATTTTCAAACAAAACAAATAATAAAATAGATTCAAGAAAGTATAACACTCTGTGTAACAACGTACCTTGACCTCAGAAGAGCGGCAACGTCGCATACGTTATGGAAGGCACGGGTGACGCGGCTTGGTACTACTTGGTAGTAACACTGCAGTGACGGGGCTCATTCACTCTTTGAACTCGTGAACCATTGGACGATAACGGAACGTACGCTCTGCTTGCCTAAGACTGCAGGTTGGGTTATTGCGGAAATAGGCTAAAACCCTTTGTTCCAAGATCGATGAAGTTTGCCGACCAGCAAAGCTCCATCATGGGTATTGGGCACTATGGGCAGATTTTCTCTAAGCCTTTGTACAAACATCAGTCGAACAGTGACGAGATGCTCCGTACCTCCCCCGATAAGTTCGCAGAGCCGACGCTAACGATGACATTCACCATGTAATAATATCGCGGCATTTCGGCACAACACACAGACACACGTAAACACACAATTAAAAGTTAAATAAATAAAATAAAATACACAGTTAACAAAAGTACAAATGTCAGTGTCCGGTTCACAGTAAAGAAAACTAGGTAATAATTAAAAAAACTAAGAACTAAAATAATAATTAATTACAAAAACAACAACAATCGTTTAGCACAACGCGCGCGTAACCCGTCGGAAATTAGTGAAAAGCACAGTACACACTATCCCGGAAGTCTAGCAGTGAACTGATGAACAAATTTTATTTTCAAACTCATTCGATCACAATCACAAACGCGGCGTACTGAAAGGGAAACTACCCCTTTCACGATGCCGCCGCAAGCGGCGGTATCTTTGACAAAAGCCGTCAAAAGAAACCGACCGCTGGTGCGGCTATTACATACACCGCACTGTTGATGTACTTACACCTATTTATTAGTGGTAAGGTAACTTCAACTTTATCGTATTGACATAAAGTCGAAAATCCAATTAATAAATTTGTCAGATGTGTACGTTGATCTGCTGGCCACTGTACCTATTAGTTTTGTTTTCCGATGTAGGTACTTATTTACGTTATTTTATAACGTAAATAAAGATCTTTGAAGAATAAATTAAATTATTAAATTAATATTTGATAACCTACATTTGGTTGCAATAATGTTATGAACAAGGGTATTACAATACAACTGTGACTACCTACCTACTTCATTATTTACTGACAAGTGCGTGTCAACGAGACGATATTCGCATCTTCTCTTTCTTACATGTTATAATCGGCTTAGAAATACGTACGGTAAATAAATACGTACTTTCGTATTTTTGAATTCGTACTTTCTATATAAATTTTTGATTCATAATTTGGTTTTTGAAAAAGTGCCATCTATGGAAAAAAATCCGAACTACTACAACATTCTTTGTGATATCGATATTTGTACAATTTCCGTGTCAACTAGACGATATTGGCAGAAAGAGATTCTTAAATGTGGTAATCGAAATAGAAAGGTAAATAAATACGTAATTTCACTCATTAATTCGATACAAATGTCAGACTCCTTAATAAATTCGTAATTTTAATAAATTTTGATTCATAATTTGAAGAAATTGTAATAGTGTCATCTATGGAGAAATTGCCGAACTACTACAAAATGCCAAACACTCTTTGTGAAATCGATATTTGCACAATTTCACTGTTGGTTTCACTGCCACCAGCGCCGCCACCCAACCATTGTGTAAGCGTGGTTCGTGTAGGAACTACTACTTCATTGCAAACAAAACAATTTATACCTACTTGAGCTTTACGCGGAATTTTGTTTTGATTGGTTTTCTGAGTGCAAGTAAATAAATTGTAATTGTAACTGTAAATGAATTATGGAAAATTGCAACAGTAAGATCAGTGATGTGTGTTTAAATGAATTAAACAAGTGAGAGATATCCGTGTTGTCGTTTAAAGATTTTTTTAAGGCGTAAACTAAACGTGTGTTAGCCCGGATTAAGCGTAACTGAAAAAGGTAATTTTATTCATTCTTTTCATAATAAAAGGTATTGTAACTAGTTGTAAGCGGCTAGAAGTTTGTGTAGGTACACAAAAAGTTTATGAAACGTGTTTTCTAGTTTTCAAATCAAGAGCCGAATGGAATTGAGGTGTTTTTTTTTCAATCAAACTCGTGAATCGACATCTTCATTGAATATGGCAAATAAATAGTTTAACACAGACGGCGAGTACCTACAAGAACAACAACCATTTTATCTTGGTCTCGTTTTGTATGATCTTTCTTCATATTCAACGATCAGTTTATACTGGTTTAGCATAGCTTAATGTGCGTACCTACAGTGTAAATTAAAGATTCATCGCGATTATTTCTTTTAAAATGTGGATTAGTGGACGGTGCAGTGACAAACTTATCATATTATTTTGGGTCTGGTTAGGATTATACCAATTCTTTTCTCATTTTGAAAACCGAAACAGGAAAAGTGGCAACGTCGCGCATTGGAGTGCATTGACCTGCGTCAATGAACTTAAAGAGTGTTTACGTTTTCTCAAAGAGAAAAATGCACTTTTTGGCTTAACTACTGGGCCGATTTTGCTCATTTTTTGTACATTGTCAGTATAGACGATAACAAGTATGTTGTATAAATAAATGTATAAGAGTTTTCTACATACGGTATATTATAATATTGATTACTTATATGGTTTTAAAGTAATTACTTAGGTACTATTATTGTACATTTAGTCATTATATTTCTTAATCTTCAGTTATTTATTAATCTGCTTGATCTTTACTATGGCTATGTTAATTCAAGCTCATAATGTTCCAATCGTCCACAATCGTCTTCTGGCCAAACTTGCCGAAAAAGGTATACATGGTTCGTTGCTTAGATGGTGTGCGTCATATATATGTAATCGTTCACAATTAGTCTATGTTTGCGGCTTCAAATCGAATGTGTGCAGGGTTCCGTCAGGAGTACCTCAAGGCTCTCACTTGGGTCCGCTCTTTTTCTTGATCTATCGATGATATCAAGAACGTTATCAAATCTCACTTCAAACTATACGCGGATGACCTAAAAATCTACCGTGCAATCAATAATAATTCTGATGCCAAATTAATACAATCTGATCTTGATAATGTTTACAAGTGGTGCCTTGATAATTACATATCTTTGAATTTGGAAAAATGTTGTCATATAAAATTTACGAGAAGAAAAAATACTCACCCCACTGTTTATACAATACATAATGTCCCTCTAACAGAAGTGACAACCATCCGTGATCTGGGAATAATTCTGGATAGGTCTTTAAGTTTTAGGTTCCACATAGATGACATAACAAAGCGGACCTCTCGAATCTCGGGTTTTATCAATAGACAGATGAAAATATTCAAGCAACCAAGTCTCACAATTTTAATATTTAATACGTTTGTTCGCGGTATTCTTGAGTATTGCAGTACGGTTTGGAATCCTAGTTACCAAGTGCATATTAATAGAATAGAACGTATTCAGAAGAGGTTCCTGTATCACCTAACATATAATGACTTAAGATGCCAAAACCTAAAATCATATGAACAACGCCTGTCAACATACAAATGGAACTTCTTGGCACAAGACGAAAAATAGCCGATATTATGTTTCTTTATAAATTAATACACAACCTTACCGATTCTCCTGATATACTGCAACGCGTGGATATTTCTGTACCGCGAGCGGGTAGTCGGATATGCAATCGAAAGACTTTTCACCCACCGCATTCTAAGACAAATCTTGGCCAGCACTCGCCCATGTACCGTATGTGTTGTTATTCTAATAACATTTGTAAAGACATTGATGTCTTCCGTCTCGATTCTCTTGCCTCTTTCAAGAAGAAGCTAAGATCTTTTTACACACTT